AGTTAATAAATTTATCATATTTATGAATTAACATGTCTAGGAATAACTTTCGTTAAAAATAATTTTTATATTTGGAATGTTGTTGGTTTTGGAGTTTTAATTAGTTATATTTTTAACGTTTTAAAATATTGAAAGAAAAGTGTATATAATCTTGAATTCCACTTTTGAAAATATAATAATGGGACGTGCAATCAGGACAGGAACTAAATCATGAATTAACGACATTAAACGATTCGTGCAACCGTTAATCACATGATTACCAGCTCAGCCGGTCACATGGCCAGATATACTCCACGAAACTTAGTCACACAAGAATATCTTAAGCCAAGTGGGTGGTTCTGCAACTGTTCCTAGAAGATGGTTGCACGTGCACGTGTGGAGAATCTCGCAATCCCACTTTTCTCTACTTGTTTAATGGTTGATTATTAATTAATCACACTCACACTCACACTCATTGAGGATTATGACCGACTAAACCGGTTACGAAGGTGGAAGGAAGTAGCGGAACACAAAAAGGAATGTATACAAGGTATCTTCTAAAATGCTTAATTATATTTTTGTCTCCTTGGGTGATTTCAATCTATCAAAGGAACTTATTGTCTTGTAATAAATTTAGTTAACTTTGATCTCAATTAATGGATAGTTTTGGGAAAAGATAACCCTAAAAAAAATGTGATGAAATAAAACACTTAAGGAGTAGCTGGTAAGAAAAGTTTTGGGGAAGTAATAATTGAAGATTTTTTGTGATAAGCATTGTTGGATGAGACAAAGGTGATAAGTGAGGAGTAGTGAGTGAGGTATATAATAATCGTTAATAGAGGAAACAAGTGATTGTGGAAAATATAATGCCCCGCATGTCTAAAAAGCCTAGTTATAATTATTTGTTAAAGAAACTATTACGAGGATACTGATTTAGGAAAAGTTAGGTTTGACCGTGGACCAGATCCAGCAAAATAAAAACAAACAAACTTTGACCACGTTTGCACGTGGGGCAGAGCGACACGTACACGTGTAATTTGCTGTCTGTCGATTCATTCACGTGGGTTTGCCACAACATCAGTTGCTGAGACGGTGAGAGAGAATCTTGCATTCTCATAAAATACATTTTTTTTATGTCTCTCTCAGTATTCTATCAATTATTTTAGGCCTTTCTCCATAAAATTAATGTAACATATCTAAGATCAACCATCAATATCGTCTCCAAACTGCTATTTCTAAAAGGTTACAAATAAAGTGTATTATTCTCTTGTATACTATTATTATTATTATTATTAATATTGTATCAATAGGTGACGCTTTTATTATAGTTAATATAATTATTAAGCATTACATTAATTAGTTGGCTTAATTTGTGAGAACAAAATAGTTTTCTATCATTGTCGAGAGAAAGTAAAGACCTTAGGTGGAGGACATGACTGTGAGACAATCAATCATGGTATAGGTAGCAATGACAAATCCATGACAGCAGAAAACGACATATTGATAATCTCTTACTTCTAAATGCCACCCATTAACACATTAATTAATATCAACGTACCATTAATATATGTGCAATATAAATTTACTTTGTCTCGTTATTAAAAAGACCATAAAAGTTTTAATTTAGTGATAATTATGTATCTTCGTTTTTATGATTTCGAATTTGGTAGCATACGAAGTCATATAATTGACTATTTAAAAAGTCTTATATTAAAACAAGCATGCCTTGAATTTGATAAAAATGTAATACTCGATCGATAGTTTTGGTTCTCACTCTTATTTTAAAACAAGCATGCCTTGTGTTTGTAAGAAAACCTAAGGGGATGATGAAGTTTACTATAGACGATGGTAGTTCAAATTTTTTGGATATTTCTGGTGCCTACCTCATATAATTGAGTCTTATGACATCTAATTCATATAATCATTGATTTTAATTCTTTTGAAATTCAAAGTTACCTTATCCAGTCTCAGACATTTCTATTTTTGGTTAAGCCAAAGAAATTGCTTGACCTATTCGAACATGCATATACCACTTCCATTACATTCTCTCTTTATTTATTTATTTATTTCTCTTAATCTTAACGCTTGTACAAAAGTGCAATCGTTTAAGTTGTAACATGATCTTCTCTTTTCCAAAATTAAAAAGTTGTCACATGTGACAACTCTATCTAACTTCTATATTCGCCCCTTTATAGTCCATCACTTTTCAAATTCTTATTCTTGTTTTTATTAAAAATATTTAGTGATTGAAGTTCATAACATTCAGTGAATTGAAAAAGTACACTTTATTACATAAATATTATTACGCGAGTGCATTATATATAATTTTTTTTTCTATTTTAATCTTACTCGTGAAAGTTTTAATAAATAAATCTATATTTCACAGTTTTATTGGAAGTAAAATGTTTATTTATATAATATATTTTATGAAGGGACTTAAAGTATTGTTAGAAAATTTTAATAAAGATGAGACGTCATACAACTGCTAAATTTTAAAAATGGTTATTTTTTATAAAAATAAATAAGATCACATTGGTTTGTTTTAATTGATTTAAAAGCGGTTAATTATTTTTAGTAAATCTAATTAAAATGGTTTGAATAATTCATCTAAGTGAATAAGTTTTCTATAAATAATACTTTATAGTATGAAATTTAAATAGAATTGATACTTATTAATGTGGGTATAGATATTTGAGTATCAACACAAGAGTATGTTACTGCACCTCTGGGTTTCACGTATTAGTCTCCATACGCATTCTTCTTCTCACACTTTGTTACTTCAGTGGGATTTTAATTCTTAAAAAGGAGTGTGTTAAAATGCATGAGATTTTGAGAATAGCAAATGGTTCGAAAGAAAGTGCGAAACACAATGCCCTTCACATGTCTGAAGAAAATGAAAGGACCAGAAACAAGAAGCCAAGTACAGACGTAAAAAGATGTCATTTGAAGAGCTAATAATAAGTGGTAGCATGGTGAAGGATAGGAATGAAAAGAAGAGAAGGTTGCCAAAAAGCAATGATGTCTGAAAGGGCAACTTAACGCACAAGTCTCAGAAAAAAAGATACAGAGAAACAAAAAGCATGATCCAGAGTGCATAAAGCTACTAATAATCCCAACTTTAAAATGAAAGGATGATGGTGATGATGATGATGATGGTGAGAAGTTAAGTCATGATGCACCGTGTTACAAGTATATGAAAAGGAGTGGCAATTGTGACATAATGACTCATGCACCTGACAGATACCTGCCTCACCTTGCCTTGTCTTTCTTGGTTAGACTTATTTAGACTACAACTTCACTTTTCTTTTGTTCATGTAAATGCTAGGGTAAGACTTTTTCTCAAAATACCACTTTCATATCTTGCTAAATTGTATTTATGACTAAAGTTAATACATGTTTCACTCAAACCCTTTTTTTTTTTTTTCTCTTTTGTTGTGGAACTAGTGATCCCTCTCCCATTGCACGTAAAACACACGTAGGCTAGTGTCTTTTTTGTAGAGGAATTTTGCATTTGTAGTGTAGCGTTAAAAAGAAAGAATGGGAGAAGAAAGAAGATAGGAGGAAAGTGCAAGATTTCTGTGGAGCATGAATGATTGATAATGGAGGCAATCGAAAAAGAGGGGCAACATGGTCATTGGACATGACTTGAAATAGCAAATGGCAATGAGTGAAACAGTAGGGTCCGGAATTCACGTGCGAATCACATGTGATGGAACGTTGTACGGAGCCAAGGAAGAAAATTCGGGCCCTTACTCTACCTCTTTTGCAATCGATACTTCCAATTATTGCCTGTCTTGTGACAACACTACCTATTTAACTCCAAAACACTTTCTTTTCTTAAATAACCAAATACCATACTTAAACAAATCAATAAATAGGATAAAAAATTCAATAAAAAAGTTGGAACAGATTAAAAAAATATATATTTTTTTTTAAAAGTATAAAGAAAATACTGCTTTGGAATATTTTTGATACGTTTACCTTTTTTTAATAAATAGGGTAAGATTTATTTGTTTTACCAAGAAACAGTTAGGACAGGGAAAACGGGACAAAACTCGAAAAGGAAGTGGAAAGCTACCTAAATCCACGTGCAAATCACATGGTAAAGATATTGCTGATTCGGGAAACATTATTTATGAGAAGCAAAGAAGAATAAATAGTACAACATATATATATGTGTGTGTTGGTTATTAACTGTGTGAAAGTAAGTTGAACAAAGTATTAAATTTGATTGCAGGTTACAAGTTGATCTAATAAGAAATTATAAAGTTAAAATAATAGAGAATTGATTTGAAAAATGAAAAATCGAGTAAAAATGATTAGAGCATTGTGGTGGAGAAAGTGAGGGTTGGATGAGATGAATGAGAATGAGCATGATAAAGAGAAAGATGATGGGTGTTGTCGGGTAGTGGGTGTTACGTTAAGGAGGGTTGAGAGTTAAGAAGTTAGGGAGAGATCCATTATTGGGGTGTGTGTGGAAAGACCCAGCCCAATGCCAGGGAACACGTGGGGACACTCTTAATCATCACCCGACATCTTTGTCTCTCTTGCCATTCACTTCCCAATAATCAATCTCCTTATTAATCATTATCATACCTCCCTCCACAACACAATTTCTCATCACTCTCTATTTTATAATCCCCTAAACGCCATTTGCAGTTAATACATGTACTCCCCTAACACAATCTCAACTCAATAAATATTTCATAAGTAAATATGTTTATTCTGTTATATATAATTTTGAAAAAGTAATGTAATTCATTAAATGCAATTAATTATGTGGTAGGAGCAATGATTAGTGAATATGAAAAAGTTAGCGATGGATAAGCCCGTTTTCAATTATTAGGTGTTTGGGTGGGAAACCTTTCCGTTCCCTGTGGAGGAGGGTCTTACTTGTAAGTTGCAAACTCAATTCTACACCATGCCAAATGGACAATTAATTTATTATATTGAACTCACTTTTTGAATAATTGCACAAGATAGGATGAGGATGGAAGGTGCACACTTCACTAATTACGGTGATGAAGACTTTACTTCAAGATTCAAAAGGAAAAGGTGAACTCACACGTGCCATGCCCAGGTACATGATATCAGGTGTGTGTTTGTGTGTGTGACCATTATTATTATTATTATTATTGTATTTAGGAAAAGGAATTGAGTGGGGTGAGCAACACGCGCCTTGAGAGAGGGTGGTGGAGATTTTGCCAAGAGGCAAGGGGTGTTCAAATGATTGTGATAAGGAAGGTGTCGGTGCGTGAAGGGACAGGATGACACCCACGATTTTGTTTACATTATGACCAAACTCGTGTACTGTACTACTATCATCTTTTTATTTGTGTTAATACTCTTAGTTTAATTACATATTTTATGCTGAAGATAGTTTCGTGACACAAATTTTATTCAACATTATGTATTTTTTTTATTTAATAAGACTGAATCTATTTTTCTGCTAACTTCATTTATCATAGCTAAAAGGTTATGATATTTTTTAAGAAATTTAGCGTACTTTTTTTTATATATATAAATTCATTGAAAATGTTATTAAGCTTGTTTGGTTATGCGGGTCAACCGTATATGTTGTCGTTGATTAACTGGAGGGTTGTTGGTTTAGTTAAAGGGGAATGAGAGGATTTGAAGGGATGTAGTAGGTGAGTAAGAGAATTCGTGCACTGAAAGTGTAAGCATTGTCACTTTTTTTCTTTGTTGTGTTAAATTATTGTTAGCTTAGAAATACAAAATAGTTATTACTAATTTGGAAATATGAAATTACTATTAATCTTCGCCGTTTTTTTTTTAATCTATATAAAACGATTAAATTTACGAAAAAACAAATGTACTCTTCTCGTTTCAATCCATAAATATTTCATTCATTCTTTAAAACAAGTAATCTCATTTTAGTTTAACTTTCTATTGTTTTTTAAAACAAGTAATCTCTTTAAAACAATTATATATATTATATCAAAATTCTTATATGTTTTTGTTGTGTCTGAGTCCGATCATACCTTTACTAATCTATGGATTCGATACGAACTTGATCTGTACAACTTTTCCTTTCATATATCTCATCCTCCTAATATTCTTTTCATAACTAAGGATTCTCACCACAAATTTTGCATTGCAATAATCCTGTTATTAAAGACTAATCACATTAAATTGGTGAGACCAAAACCTATCAACATGAAGACGAATTAATCCAATAAAAAGTGTAAGAGTAGTTAGGGTCAGGTTTATACAAATTTTTAGTTGGTAAGAACTAGCTAAAGTTTCTACTGTTTTTTAAGCTAAACCAGTTTGAATAATTTTACTAATACGATTCATTTTTCTTTTTCAATTCTTTGAATTTCACATGTTCTTACATGAAAAGATACTATAATATAAAATTTCAACCACATTGAATTTGATTATGCATCATAACATTTTCATGGTACGGTTTGGTTTGATTTTTTTAATAAAACTTTATCCGTACTAAATATATGTTTTAAATGTAATTTAGTTTAGATAGTTTTTATGATTTTTATTATAAAATTATTAAACATATTATATATAATTATAATATTTACCATTAATTTATTTATATGTTTTCATATTCATTTTAAAAAATAATAATTCATGTTTTAAATTATAAAAAAAATAATTCATTTTTATTTTTGTATATTGTAATTTTGGTTTAGTTTAAAAATTTGGCTGATTTTTTATCATCAAATAAAAATGAAATTCGATCGATTTTTAAAGAAATTTAATTAAAGAAATAAAAATAAAGAAATTTGATTAGTTTTTAATTCTTTTAGTACTCTTTGATTTTATTTTTTAAATTGATTTGATTTTGAAACCTTGCATATAGAATAAGTTATTTCCAGGAAGGGTAATGTTGATTGTGTGGGATTATGGAGGTTGATTTTGACATAGTAGGATTTACATGCACCTATTCATTATGATGTATAAGACCAGTTTTTGCAATTTACAAGATAAAAGAAAAATTAAATGAGAAATTGTTTGTTTTAGCAAAAAATTGAATAATTTGGAAAGAGCATTATGTTACAATATTTTCAACATCACCCCCGTTGTATCAGAGAATTGTTTGAAAGGGTTCAGTTACCAACGTGACAGTGGCTGGCTATGACCGAACGTTTTAATCTCTTTTATTTGCATAGGCAATATTTTTTATACGAGAGCAATACATTCAACACATACAGAGTATTTGTGATTTATTTTTACCTTAAATGATGTAGAGGTACGATACATGATGTATTTGATTTATTGAGTTGAAAAATCAGATGTTAAATAAAATTAGAGTTTAGTCTTTTTAAAAAAAAAAAAAAGAGTATATAAAGAAGTGAAAAGGAATAATAAATATAATTGTAAAAATGGAAAGGAGGGAGGTGAGAAGAGACGTAAGAAGGTATGTGGCACGTGTAGTGCAGAGGCATGTTGGTTCATGTGATAGTGAGTTGGGGCAGGTTTTTCTTCCACGCTTTCTTCATTTTCCCACCACGTGAACACCCATCGCACTTGTCCCCCTCTATTTCTTCACTTTCTTAATTCCATCATAACAATAACAATAAAATTAAAACTTGAATAAAAGTATTCTAGAAAATAACATTTGAACTATTTATTCTCTTATTTACTACTATGATTTAACTGATGAAGAGAACAGATGAAATTATCGAGGGGCAGTTGCTACGGAAATGCTGCGCATGAAGTAAACGGTGAAAACACGCGTGGTAAAGGAGGAGCCGTTTTCCTGCCACGCGCGAGTCGACTCAGGACACGAGGAAGAAACAACTGAAGTTGTTGTGTGTTGTGGTTTTAATTTAAATTTTAACGGTGACATCCCAGAGGGGGTGATGGAAGAAAAGAAAAAAAGTTAGGGAAAGCGACGTTGTTGGCTGGGGGGAAGACCCTCGTGGTGATCGCATGGGTGGAGATTTGTGTGTCGCGTAGGATAAGGGATGATGGGGACCCACTCAGGGACAAGCCAAATATAATGAAAAGGTTATCTGTTTGGTTCCAATCATGACCATTGGCTGTGCTGATTTTGATGGATGTCCAGGGATGATGCTCATCATGCCTGTTCCTACTTCTGACATTTTTACCTCAGCCGTTGATGTAGGAACTGATTCACTCCTCGCCCAAATCTTCAGGTGCCACCTGCCCCACCCTGTTTAATGTTCAAGATTTCTTCCGATTTCCCACCACACTCTCTCTCCATCCTACCTAAACCTAACTCCATTTATTTTCCTTCTTACACTTTTATCAATCTCCTCCTTCTAATCTTACTCCCTTTCATTTCTTAACTTTAAACTCCCTGTTACCATCATCGTACTCTTCTTCTTCCTGTACTTTTAAATGCAGCTCAACCGTAGATCTGCAGATTCCTTAATAATATTAATATTAATTGATTAGACAAAACTACTATTCCTTTCTTTTCTATGTATAACATTGCACATGTTAATTGAATAACTAGTCTTATCAGCCTTGTTAGGAAAACTTTAGAAAAGCAAAACCAGTCTCGTCACCCAAAAAAATGTGACATGAACGACGATGTGATGTATATAGTTATCGTCTTATCAGAAAGCCTTTCACAAATCTTCTTTCTTTCGTTCATGTCTCGTTAGTGTGAAATAACAAACTCCTTTATGAAAATTCAAATTTTCCTGGTTGTGTTCCACTACTGGTTTCATAACATTTTTTCATCACAGTAAAAAGAGTCCTATTTTATACTGTTGAAATTTGTTGTATGATATTCGTAAAGTATATTATTCAGCGGTCAATGGAATTGTTTGTGTTGTGGAGCGGGACTTATCCAGTGGTGCAAAGCAAAGATGACGTGAAAGTTATCCAAAAAGATGAGAGTGTGAAGGTAAAGTTTAAATAAAGTGGAGTTTATTTACCAAATGGTCAAAGGTTAGAGTAAAGAGGTTAAGGAGGGGGAAGAGAGAGAAAGCAGGGTTGTATTATTTTGGGGGCAAATGTCATGATTGAGATAACTGGCCTTGCTGACATAAAGTCATCATTGAACTTACACACCACTCCCACCCATTCTCTCTCCTTTCTATATAATCTCAACCCACACGGCCCCCCTTACCACTCCAACACTCCCTGCTTTTCATCCCCTTCTTACTCTATCTCTCTCTCTCCTCCTTATTCCCGACCTCAAACTCAATCCCTCGTTACCCAACTTCTTCACACGCTAATTTTTATAAAGCTAGAGATGATGGTCCAAAAGGAAGATCTGGGTTTGAGTTTAAGCCTCAACTTCCGTCACAACATCCCACATCCTCAACATCTCACTCTCATGTCTTCCTCTACTCATTCATCTTCCCCTTCTGCTTCCAATCCTCTTAAACCCTCTTGGAACGAGGCTTTCGCTTCTTCGGGTACGTCCTAAAATTGCTCCACTTTCCCAAAAAAAGAAAAGAAATGGCCTTTCATTTTTATTTGCATGCTAATAATATTCCAGATCTGTTCAAGTTTCTCTCTTTATTTCCTTTCTCTCCACTATTTTTCCATTCACTTTGATCCAGCTTTCTGGGTCTTTTTCTCAAGGAAGAAAATATCAATTTCACGCTTCACACTTACTGGGTCTTTCTCTAATTTAATGTTTGTTTGTTTGTTTCCATCCAGATCGAAACTCGGACACATGCAGAGGCGAAACCCGATCTTTCCTGCGTGGAATCGACGTGAATCGGTCACCTTCGGCCGTGGACATGGAAGAGGAAGCGGGAGTTTCTTCTCCGAACAGCACCGTTTCGAGCGTGAGCGGGAAACGAAGCGAGCGAGAACCCAACGGAGAAGAACACGACATGAACAGAGCCTGTTCACGCGGAATCAGCGACGAAGAAGACGGTGAAACATCAAGGAAAAAACTCAGACTCTCCAAAGACCAATCAGCTATTCTCGAAGAAAGCTTCAAAGAACACAATACCCTCAACCCCGTAAGCATAACGAAAAAATCACCTTAATAAGTTCTTATATTTTCTGTAGTACTAAAATTAAACTATTAACATTACTTAATTTAATGTTTTGGCAGAAGCAAAAGTTGACACTGGCAAAACAGCTAGGCCTTCTACCAAGACAAGTTGAGGTCTGGTTCCAGAACCGAAGGGCAAGGTCAGTTTACAAATCGTACAATATAAGATGAATACATGAAATAATTTGGTAGTTTATTTTTATTGAACGTGGTCCTGGTGAAAATAATTTCAGGACTAAGCTGAAGCAAACCGAGGTGGACTGCGAGGTGTTGAAAAGGTGCTGCGAGAATCTGACGGAGGAAAATAGAAGGTTGCAGAAGGAAGTTCAGGAGCTTAGAGCACTCAAACTTTCCCCTCAGTTTTACATGCAAATGACCCCACCCACCACACTCACTATGTGCCCTTCTTGCGAGCGCGTGGCTGTTCCCTCCTCCGCCGTTGATGGCGCCACGCGTCACCATCCCATGGCACAGGCCCAAGCCCACAATCGGGCCATACCCATTGGGCCGTGGGGTTCTGCAGGTCCCGTTCCACACCGGGCTTTCGATGGTTTCCACCACTGATCCAGAGGGTGTTTTGGTGATTGTGAATTAGTATTAATTTTATGACCTACTACTCCTAGTTGTAGGGTGTAGGTGTGTACCCCAAAAAGAAAAATGGGGGAAACAGTGGGGAGCGATTGGAACCGCGTGGTGTGGAATTGTGCGTTCCGAAGTGCGATCTAGGATATGGTCATTAGAAGAAGGGATTTGGTGGGTCTCCAATGTTTTGTACCAGTTTGACTCATCATCTTTTGTTTTGTTTGGATGACCTATATTAGTTAGGAGGTTTTCAGTTTTTAGTATTACTTAACCTTTTCCCCATGTCAAGACTAAACAGAGACTTTGTGTAAAGTGCAATTGTCTAGTTTAATTATTTAGCTTTGCTTCCCATACCCTATTTCACTTTTACTATTTCCTAGCTTTTTTCCAGGATTCGTTTCACCCCCCTTCAAACATTATTTTTCTCTCATACATACTTTTCTTTCTTTTAACTACCCATATATATTCATAGCCATCTTACGTTTACACTTGGGATATCTTAATAAGGAAGTTTTTGTTTCGGACCATATTTCTATAAGTGTTATAACTAAAAATGTCCTTTTTTAATGTATTCATAAAATGTTTCATTGTTAGGGAAATATTTTAAATAAAATGATCAAAAAGTAAATTTACAGTATGAACTTTTAATGACATACCACTTTCCTATACCTCTATTTATGAAAATGAAATCAAGCAAGGAGATAGAACTGAGGTGATTTGAAAAATAGAAAATATAACTAATAAAAATCTAATAAAAAAGTACATACAAATAAATTATATAAAAAATATTGTTTTTAGGAAACAAACAAGTTGTCTACTTCAGATGATTTCAAGGAAGATTCCAAGGAAGTAACAAGTTTGTGTAAAAAATGTAATAAGCTTGATAGTATTTTAATTATAGTCAATCAGAAGTGATTTATAAATTTATAAATAATTTATGACGGAGATTTATATTTTTACTTTATTTATTATATTTTATATTTTTTTATACATATCTAAATGTACATAATCAGTGTATACTTGCAGAATAATTTAGTAGCTGCATAGGATATCTGTTCATCCGAACCTACCTCTGTTGTCTTTTTCTTAGTCCACCGATGGAAAATTTTTAAACACTAGTCTTAAATCTTGGCATCCAACAGTATTAAAGTTTGATGTGAAGTCAAATTGTGATGTATTGTTTGGAAAATAGTTGATGATGATGAATGGTGAAAAGATGTTGAGTTTTGGGTGCATTGCAAAGGATTGATGATCTTCTAATTGCGATTGAGTGGGTCCATGTGAAAACGTAAATGGTTTCTTATTTTAGGGGTCAATGTAGGATGTAGAGTACCACTGAGACCACGCCCAGTCTATAAATAATGGTTAATTTGGGTCATCATCAGCCCAAATAACAATACCCTCTTTTTCGTGCATAACAGCCTCCCTGTTTTCATGGATTATGTTGCTCATTGATCAACTCCAACCCTTGATATGGACAAACTCAAACATATAAAATCCTACAATTCACGCATGATCACTTTTAAAATTAGTTTTGAATTTTTGGGAGCCGAAGTTTTGAAATTTATGAGTCTCTCTCTCTCATTCACGCTCTTCACCTACAAACTAATTCTACTTACTTAATTATCATCAGTCAAAGCTGTGTCAATCAACGTTATTTTCGTGAGGATATCAACTTGTTGCCCAATTTTGGCTTCACGTTTCTCGTTTTGTGTCAACAGGTAATTTGACGTGAACATGCATTTGGTTCACTTATATTTCTTTTTTTATAGTATGATTAATGTTGTTTTCTTGCTGGATTTGTGAATATTAAGGACAGACTTTTTATGGTCGAAATTGTCAACTCAAACTAACTTAACTTGCCAAAATCGAATTGCATGTTTTTCTCTCATGTAAACTCAAACTAACTTACCCTTATCGATTAAGAGTTGTTCATAAACTTGGTTTAAGATCGCCTCAATTTCAAATAAATAGGATTATTATATAAATGAATAAATAAACAAACTTTACGTTTAATATTTAATATAATTATATGTTAAATATATTTGCAAATATTTTAGCTTAAAAAATCAATTATTAAACTAGAATAACTTCGTATAAACTATTTTATCTGTATGACACATACACATTGGTTACTTGATTTATAAAAATAGCCTTCTCCTTAAATTCTGACACATTCAAAAGAAGGGTCACAAATAATAATATAATGATAAATAATATTATTATATTAATATATTTAGTTATTGAAATGATATTTTTGAGAAAATGGTTATCAAAAACACTATTTATCTTATAAGAAAAATAAATGACTTATTCTTAAAGCATGAACATTTCTTCTCTCATTTCTATCTTAAATCTTTAAAATTCTTCACATCACTTATAAAATAAGGTAAATGTTACCTTATAAATATCTTTTTCTCTTAATAAGTAGGATGACGAAATCAAAATCGAACTCTGTAGCTAACATTACCTGAGAAACAATGATAGAAATTAATGATATTATTTTAATGGGCTTCAGGTCCAAATGATAAAGTTGTCTATGAAAGAAAAAAATTCATGTCACTTTCATTCGTGAGAATAGAATAGTAGTCATTTTTTTTTATCAAATAATGTTATAAAAACGATTTAGTGACCATTTTGTTTTTGTCACATGTTTTTAAAGGTATCCACACACCTTTTTCTTCAGTGTTTCATTGCTCAGCACTTTTTTTTTTTTTTTTTTGAAGTATGTAAGCTCAATGTTGCAAATTGCTTTTTCCTTTTACCAAACGAAAATACACATTTTGAATGTTAGTACCTAAAGATGAAATAATTACCAAACCCTCTTCTTCCATGTTCCTTTGCTACTTTTCTTCCCAAGTTGATCATGATGCACAAAATAGTGTGTATTTGAATTTCAGTTCATACACGTTATATTGCACATTCACTTCAATCCACGAATCTAGTGTCGTTGTTGGGTAATAGAGAGTAGTCATCATTCAAAGAATCTTAGCAGAAAACCAAACACACACTACTAACTTGTTATACTTTGCACGAAAAAGTTATAATTTTTTTTCTGCCCAAAATATTTATTGGATTTTTTTGGGTTGATTTTTTGTGGAAAAATATTTCGTAGGAAAATTTTTGTGATTTGTTTTTGCCAGAAATATTCTGCAGGAAATTTTTACATTGAGAATTTGAATTAAAATATTTTTAATTTATTAGTTTTAAAATATTTTATTTTCCATTTTTACAAATTTTTGGAAAATTTAAAGAAAATACAAAAAATATTTAAAATATATGTTATATTTATTATTTATAAGTTTCATTAAATTTTATTTCTTTAATATTTCATTTTTCAACTTAAAATTTAGATTCAAAATCTTATATTTTTTTAACTGCTTGAATAAAAGGGAAAATATAAAGTTTTTACTTTTGTGTGTGTGTGTTAGAAAACCAAAACAGACACTTGAGTTTCCAAGTTCTCTCTACAAAAGATAAAACGTTTAAAAAAAACAAAGAAAACCATAAATTGTATGAAACACATTATAAATATGACTAATGTTTTTAAATAATTTATTATCTATGAATTGTTGGCAAATTTTGGGTCATGTATATATATGATACATATTTAAATGTGTTAGGGTCATTATTTATTAAGCCAAATAATAAAGTGATCTGAATAAATTAAAGTTTTGGCTAAAGGCATATGTCATGAAAATATGATTGTGTAGAGACCATAGAATAATTTTTAATTTGATGAGGGGCCAAATTGAAAATATTAAAACTTAAGTAATTAACCTAATTTTGGTTATATAAAGGGTCATGGTCCCCTTCTGAGAGCACACAGACAGAACACAGTTACAGTCCCGTTCTTTTCTTTCTATCCCCATCAAGAGAGAAAATCAAGAGGGAAATACAGGTGCTCTTCAGGTGGAAGACCATAAGATCAACTCAAAAGTGCTCTACAAAGGATATCGTCATTATGACCAATTCAGGTACGCTTTCGCATTTAGTTTATAACATGTTTACAGTATGAGATTATTGATATATGTTTGATCATTAGAATGAAGATCATATTCAATTAAAGTTTAACCTAACAATTGGTATCAGAGCAACCCATACTTGATTCATGTTTGCATTTGGAAATTAGATTTAACAAAATTGAGATTTAAGAATTCACGTAGAGAATAATCTCCAAATTTTACGAACCCTAAATTTAAATTTGGGGTAAAATCCCCAATTTTAAAACCTAATTTCGAATTTGAGGGTGAAAACCCCAAACTGCTTCTGCTCCTTCGTCTTCATTGGCTAATTAAGTCGCGGAGTTGCTCGCGACGGAAAGGGGAAGCGTTGGAGAGGTTCTCCGGCAATGGCGTGCTGACGGTGATGGTCATCGAGAGCAATGACGCGTCTGCACATTGGTCGTCGGCGATGGCACGGTGGTTCATGTTCCTGGTCCGCTGCGTCGTGGTTGCGAGCGGCGACGATGTTATTATCCAACGACGGTGGCACACTTAGGAGGTTTCATACGGGGGTTTTGCAGCGGCGATTGGGGTTGCTTCAGTGCACCTAGAAGCAGAAGGAGGAAGACAATTAGTGAGAAAAAGGGAGAGAAAGAGGGTTAATGTCGAGTTAGGGTTTCGAGTTGACTCACTAAACCTTTTGCATTTTGTGGCCGGTTTTTTGTTTTTGCCGGAGAAAACTCTCAGTCTGGTCTCGCATGCTTTTGTATCTCAGTTTGAAAGGTTCGGTTTTTCCGGCGAAGAGTATGGGATTTTTCGGTGATTATTTGGTCAATTGAGTTTTGGGGATTCTCGATTTTGACCTAAAGCAAAGGTCTTTACACAAAATTTCCACTGGATTTCGTGTTCTCTTCCATTTTGAGATGTTTAGACCGAGTATAACTGTGTGTGTTTGTGTTAACGGTGTTAAGAGATAGGGTTCTTGTTGTGGAGTCGTTGGTGCCGCCAGGGCTTCGGAGTGTGTTGTTTGGGAGTGCT